CTTCTGCCAGCTAGGATAATAGCTCCTTTATCTCCCAGTTTTTGCAGCAGGAGCAATAACATCTGAAAGAAGCCAACTGCTGGTGGTAAACTGGGGGATAATTTAGAGTTTAGCTTAAGGCTCCCTCTGGAGTCTAAGGAGGGATTCAGAGCAGGGACCTGAGTGGCTGTGGGGAGTTCTGTCTAGGGAAAGCAAAGCACCTCTCCCTGTACCTCACTGGAGCTATGAGAGGTCAGGGCCAAACTTGGCCTAAGCAGCCACTTTTGGGGTTTTCCCTTCTTTCCATGGGAGAATGGAAGATGATAATCTAAATTAGGCTGGAGTAAAAGCATTAGGTCATTGCAAGGTAAGGGACGTTGTTCAAACAAATGCTGTGCTTGCTTAAGCATTACATAAAGTTCAGTTAATTAGGCAATAATTTAAACTCTGGCTGATTCTAGGGGCAGTAGTTTTTATTTTTGTATCATTACATATCTCATCCACGTGGCTTTAGTTTTCAAGTATGACAAGTGATGCTGTATGACTATAAAGCCAACATCTGTGGAAATAGTCTTGATACTAATAGGACCATATTTATTTGGGGAAAACAGCAAATAATTTCTAGTAGTACCTGAAATCCTTTAAGTTAATAAGTAGTAGTTAATTGGTCGTGTTTATCCTACATCAGCTCCAAAATACACAAAGAAATACATCTCTTACCAGATATTCCCAATCACAACTAAGCTTGGTACATCATTAACTTTTCCTACTCTGGACTGGAATAAATAGATGTTACTTATGATCTGGGATGCGTTGCTAAAACTGAGCAGAAATGTGCTGAAGTCAGAGGGAGCTGTTCTGTTAACTTCAAAGGCCTTGCAATCACATCTGTGGTGCCGAATATTTTACCTACTACAAGTTGTGACATGTACCATTAGCTACTATGAGATTAAACAAGTGTGTGACAGCTTGTTCTAACACAAAGCATGGCAATTGATTAGAAGGATGGAATGCTTTCCAAATCTTGAGAATATTTCTTGGTTTTGGGGAAAGGGATTGGTGAACTACTGTCCAGAAGACTTAAAAAACCTATCCTGGAATCTGTTCTTATCCTGACTCCTCTAAAATAACTTACTAATATTTAGCAATAAAAAACATAATGAACACAATCAGCAGTCCCGATACAATTAGTATAGCTGGAGAAAGGATTTTTTTTTTTTTTTTTGGTTTTGAAATATTTATAACTTAATTAATGAAACAAATAAACAGGACAGAACTGTCTTGTTTTGGTATCGAGTACTCTTTTGCCTCCTGGGCTGGTAGAGCTTTCATGCAAGGCAGAGGGCAAACTTTTTGCTCCTAACTGGCAATGCCCCAGCTTGAACAGAGGGTGGTTTGCTATTAAGAGTTCTGCTAAGACAGTGGATACAGTGGATTCCCTTTTCTATAACCTACCGTAGAAAACACCAAGAAATATAGTACTTTAATGCTTAAGAATCCCTTTTGTTACTTCTGTGTCAATAAGAAAATGCTTTAATTTTTGTTAGTTTTGGGTGGGTTTTTTAATTGTGTAACACTAACAATTGCATGATATTTAGCATGTAATTAAAGATTAAAATTTAGACAGTCATCACACTCCCTCCATCCCCAGAAAAAACAAAACAGTAAACAATTAATCTTTAAATCCTTTTTAATAGATGAATATTCATTCATCGATATTTTCATAAAGCATCTATTCATCTTTCCATTTTACTATTCTGTTTCTTTTTTCACTGTTGAATACCAAAAATACATAGATGTGCCTTAAGCAAAAAAAACTGGGTTTTGGTTTATCTTTACAATGGGATGAAATCAACTTAAACCACCTTAATATTTCTACTGTTTATTGACCCTTTGGGCTATAACACAAGATAGTTCCTTTTATTTTTAAATACATTTTACAAACAAATGGTGTGTGTTATTTATAGTAGTGTTGAGTTAGAAAGGAGTTAATTAGCCATGAATACATTATTCTGGTTCAATTTGGTTGAAATTACCATTTTTAGTCTTAAAGCCATCTACGGTTAAAATCATACACTGCAGCTAGCATAAAAGGACAAAAGCCAGAAAATGGGAGGCCAAGGCAAACACTGTTTTTAACACGTGTGTGTGTGTCTGTGTGCAAGAAGTGGTGCTGGGACTGGAGGAAGGGAATTGGCAGAAAAAGGCACAAAAATGCATGTTAGAGATGAAGTATTAACCTTAAGTGAGATTTTCCTGTTTTTTTTTCAAGACAAACCAAGACTTTGATCTGTCCAAAGTTCAAGCTGTTTCTGTCCCACGTAACTCAACTAGGCCAATGAAATATCATGAAAACTCTGAAATGTGCAAATGCCCACTTTTTGCAGTGACAGGCAAGGTGGGGTGTTCACTTTCAAAGAAGGGTCTGCGATAACACACTACTCTCCAGTTGTGCAAAGGGTAAGAGAGGGGGAGTCCTCAGACACTGAGTTCTCTTGCCTATACATGGTCCCAAAAATGCACCTTGCCCCTTTGCTCTTGCTAGACGGTGATTTTCCACCTGCTTGGAAATCCTAACTGAAGCCGCTGGAGAACCGATTTCACCAGGATTTGGAGTACCCATTTTGATCACAACTAAACAGTCTCTTCTTGTTGAAGATCTCTGCTTGACCACAGGATCTGCAGGAGCTGGGACTTGAAGAAAACAGAGAATTTAACTGTGATTAAACCATGAGGGTGGGACCACTTTTCTTTTAAATACCATTTTCAGGGTAGTTCTTTGGGGCACTTACTGAAAGTCTTGCTTGATGATAATTTCATTAGGGTAATTTTCTAAAGCAAAGCCTTCCATTTAACATTTTAAAAAAAAAAACAGATCTTCTTGTTTAATTCTATTTTGTCATTAGGATAAAAACCTGGGAGGTCTTTTCAGCAGTTCTACCAAATCTGTACTTTGGGAGGGTGTTAATTGTTTAGTGACTTTGATTATAATGATGACAATGTGCTCTCTAATCCCTTCGCAGTTTGAAGCGGTATTAGAGAGCTCATAATACACTGTGGTTTACCAATGGGAGATAATACTGAGGAGCTTTTAAAAGCAAAGTTTTTCTGCTCCAGCTATATGGGCTCCTTTGAGGCTCTTCATACTGAATAGTTGTCTGCAGATATAGTGCTTAAACACTGCAGTTAGAGCCACTTTGCACCACTGCCAAGGATGCAGCAGGACTGCGGTGCTGATCCTGCACACAACAGCAGCTGGGGATCACATTGCAGCTTTACTGCAAGGCAACTGAGTGGAGCCCATTCCTGTTCAAGGAGCAGCCCTGAGGATGAGATTGCAACACAGACTTAGCAATCCAGGTTCATCTATGCTGCATTTCAGCTCAGAGCAAAGTTTCATAGTTCAGCTGCAGATAGTCAGGGGTGGGAACAGTAATGGACTGTACACGGCACCAACACAAGTATCATTGCTCTACTCACAGACAAACCAAGTACTAAGGAGAATGAGGGTCATTACAGAGCTAAAGCAGCCTTTTCAGCTTCATCGTTTTTTGGCGTTTTTGGTAGATGCATATCCACACATTTTTCTCCCATAGGCGTCTCTAGCTAGCATCCAAAGCTCTCTCTCTGCCCCAAATTCCTATTCATGTCCAGAGGAATTCTACATGCAGAGAACTGGCAGGGCTAAGCCTGAATTTTTTTTTTTTTTTTTTAAAGATCTATTTATGCTACTGTTTTTGTTGTTATTGAGAATGTACATGATAGAAACACTGTTTACAAAAAATATATCTTCTTTTCTTTAGAAAGTTTTAGTTCTGATAAATAGCAAATTAAGTTTACAGATCTGCAACTGGCATACCTTGACAACTACAATCTACTAGACTGAAAAAAGTTGGAATGGCAGTGAGGGACTGAATTGAGATGAAAACCAAAATGGTCACATTTGCATGAAGGATATGTTAGAATTTAGTTAATGCTGAAACAAAACATACTGTTTGCTATCTCTTCTGATTTGTGATGATAGCACACTACCTTGGTAAGTGGACGTGTATATACTTTCAGTATATAAATAAAATATGAAAATGCTCCATTACTGAATCAAAGTATCAGAAGTGCTCTACTCACTCAATTCTAGAGAATAAAAAGTTGCAATATCACAGAAACAAAAATATGACATAGCATGCGGTCACAATAGCAAGCACAGGGAGGAAAAATATTCAGAAAATATACTTATATGCATATTATGCAAATATATTTTACATTAACATACAATGTTATAAGAATGTTAAATTATGTGAATGCATGTTTAAAAAAGGCTACAGCTAGGTGGTTTCATGTCAAAGTAGCAAATAACCTGAGACATCTTCTATGCTTTCACTGGAATAACAATCTTTAAATCTACAACAGATGTAGAACACATTGACAGAGGTTGAATTCTCAGCTAAATTATACTAAAAATGTGCTGTTCTCTTTCAAAATGACATGGCAGCTGGAACCAGTCCAAGGGAAGGGAAATGTGCTGTACATTTACAGTACTTACAAAAGATTCATTTCACTGTTGATGGACACTTAAAATGCTTGTTTGAAATATTATGAACATGTGTTTGTCTCCAAAGACCTAGAGCAACGCTCCCATGATCACCTTGCTTGCTACAGAAGAGAAAGCAAGAGATCATTGAAAACAACGTCCATTCAGGGGTGGGGAAAAAAGTATGACATATATAAACCCAAGAAATTTTAGCAAAGAAAAATAAATTTGGCTCAATGAAATCATAGTTGATGGATCTGCGGTATAAATGACTTACTTTAAACTTACCAGTGTAACTCTACTGCTTTACGATTAGTGTGTATGGCAGCATTTACAAACAATGTTACTCAGTACTGACTTTATACATGTTTACAGCTGTTTGAAAATTTCTATGACAATCAAAGTCTTGTAGGGATAATATACAACACTTACTTTCTCAAGGCTTGCTGTTTTGACAACACCTGCCTTTTGATTTAAAAAGTTCCTCTGTCCATAACCTCAGAAACAACGTGTACATGTGTGTGTGCATACATATACATTTGCTTTGCAGTATGTGCTTTTAAGTACACACAATTCTTTGCTACATGTATTCACACATACATGAGTATGGTCTATAAGTTCATATATATATATTTATGTATAAATATATATATAAACTGTGCAAGCAAGTAGTATTTCTCTTGTTACAATTGAAGTCCTTTAAAAAAGTTCAGTCACTCAGTTAACATAGTATAGCCAGTAAATTAGGTTGAAAAGAGAAAATGTGAACGGAAAAACCATTCTTGACCATCTGTCGATGGCATTCACATCTGTTAGATCAGGGATTTTTATTTTCAATTGTGAAGACCTCCTTCGTAAATGGCCCCTCCTGCTGTGGGGGCCTGGTCTTTCTGACGAACGTCTCCCAAGGCTTTCGCGATGTGAGCTTTGTTTTCTGTACTGTATTCCTGAGTTGTCAAAGGATATCGTTGAATTTCGGGCTTCCGTAACACTGGTGGTGACCTCGTTGCTTGCCACCTCGTTGTGAATTTCGAGCGATGTTAACAGAATGTTTCCATGGGTGTCCACCTAGGGGGCAAAACCAGAAATATAAATTGCTTCAAAAGACTTGACATTTATCAGCAGAATGTGGGTGTATTTAAATCTCCAAACCCATACATATTTTAAGAAAGTGTGTATTCATTTTAAGCATGTGATAATCTTAGGAAAAAAAAAAAGGGTAATACTCATATGCCTTAAATACTTTTACAAACAGGCATATCATCATACTACCAATCTCCAGTACAACCTGCATTTGGCAAAAATAATCATTTCCCTCTCCCTCTAAACCAGATGCGTTTTAAAGGGTGGTGTAGTTCAGTGAAATCTCCACATTGCTGGCAATGGGGGAAAAGGGATGGATTCTGCCTCTGCTATAGCAGAAAATTAAATTAAACCGGACTAGCTTTTTTCTATCTGTGATTTAAAACCAGCTGGAAAAAGTGCCTGTGAAGCTTGCTAAAATCACAAGAACAGTTCTGATCTGCTGAACTCTTTGCATTTTGCAATCATAGAGTTTATTTGCAAGTTTTCTCTTCAACTTTTCCTTGCATGGTCATTTGCACAGTTTTCCAATCATGGCAACGCTTAACTGTAGGGTTTTACCTCTTGGGTAAGTGATCTTAAAGTCCAATGAACTTAGACGTAGAAGAAATCTGCTGAACTGAGAAAATAGGTGGCACTCTTCCCTTCCACTTCCATATCCAACAGGCAGTGAGCACAGCGTTGAGCACAGGTGAGCAATGTGATACCATTTTTAGTAATTAAGAGGAAGGTTGTGATCATTCATAGCCTCCAGACCCCCTGAGCAGCAATAACGGAAGAGTTGCACAGAGTTGGGTTTGGCTCTTTCATTCCAGAAAAACCTTCAGTTCCCATCAATGGCACTAAAAGGAAGTCTCAAATTATGCTGTCTTAGTCAGTATTTGGTAGCTACAGTGGTGAGGCGTCACCACCCCTTGTGCCCCGTGCCCTGAATGCTGGAGGAAGGGGGGAGAACACAGCTGATGCTGGGATCAGCTCCAACTTTCTTGCTAGTTTTTAGAAAAGGAAAATGACAGATGAAGGTAAAATACTCTGTGCTGGGTATTTTCAGCCAGTTAATGCATGTGTGACTGTTCAAGTGAACTCACTTCCCTATGTCAGACACAGATAGTGAATCATGCCATACAGCATAATTTCCAGTTTTACATATATAATTTATCATCCAGAATTCACCCTGTAATTAATATGTATTTCTAATCTGCCACATGATCTAGCTGTGTTAACTGCAGCAGTCAAATATATCATCCTAGCAGCATCTGTTTAAAAGTGGTTCATAAAACACACTGTTGTCATAGCCTTTTGAAGCTTGTACAGTCATCTGATAACACATCTTTTGCAAGCTTTGTGTGGTGCATTAAAAATATGTGTGGCTGTGGCTGTCCATATGCATTTAGCTTTTTTCAATCCTGTTAAAATTTTGTAAAATGTATATTTCTTTCATTAAGTATTGAAGCTACAGCTTATCTTTTCTCAGAGAAAAAAAATATGATAGTTTATCAGTAATGCTTTGCCAAGCTTCTTGCAAATGGAAAAGGAATATAAAATGCTATGACTGACATACAGGCAAGTAGGGAAAAAATGTCCTAAGGTGTCCAACAAATCCTGCAGTTGTAGGCAACAACAGCACATTATGCTGATTAGCGCCTATAAATAAAAATAAACAATGTGAACCAAAATAATGGGGTGGAGAAGCCTCAGAAGTGATTAAGAAGAATTTATTTTCCTCATGGCAGAAACCCATTGGGTACAAAAGTACAAGCCTGAGGTTTGTAGAAATGAGTTCATGCTGTTGAGCAGTATCTGTGACCGGGGAATACACACAGCTGTAAAATACAGCCATGAATAGCATCACTACTGATGGTGGTCTCTGAAAGGAATAGATTCAGATTTCTCTGTTTTGTTGGTTGGTTGTTGGTTTTGCTGTTTCGTTTGGGTTTATTTCCACAAAGATTACAAATTATGATCAGGATTTGTGACAGCATTGTGTAAAATATCTCCATAATCTGCATTTTTCATATGAACCTTAAAACTAAATCTGTCATCCAGACCCCACAGCATCACATGTCATGTCCTTTCCCATCTCCTCCCACACTTTGAGTAATATCTTTCAGCTTACTAACAATGCCCCAGCAGAGGCTGTTTTGCTGGGCTCCATCCTGACAGCACTGCCTTCTCTTTGCAGGTTTCTACTCCCTTTCCTTCCACCACCACAGGTGTCAGCTGCCCTTTCCCTCAGGGCTTCCAAATTCTGCCTGCCACCTACATATATACAGACATTAGCCCATCCATGGGTACTTTGTCCTTCTACACTGAGCCTGGATTTTTGTTAAATGAGGTGTTGGCTGAAAGCTTGTATTCTGGAGGGTACACTTATATATTCTGGCTTCTCCTGCCCAAGGAATTAATTTTATTCCATTTATTTCATTACACTTCATAGCCGCCTTCATTTTTGTCTGTCAACCTTACATGCCATCCTAACATGGCTTCTGCCTTTGATCTCCCAGTGATGTGGCCACTTGTCACTGCTTGTGACTGCACTTATAAATCAAACTAGAAAAGTTGTAAAAAATGTTGCAACATTTGTGTAAATGCTTTGTCTGAAAATGCCATTATATCCTATGAAGTTGCATGACAGCATGTATTCCCTAAATATCTCAAGTGAAACATATTTGGAGACATACTTCTGAAATGAATCTCCTTGTTAATAGAGCAACAGACTTGCATGTCAAATACAAGGAACGAGCAGATGGAGAGAAGAAGGGGTCTGCAAAAACTGAATTCAGGCTTCTGGTCCACATATACTCTTGAGATCCATTCTTAAAAATTATATTGATACCTTCAGTGGTTTTAGATAAACTACCTAAACATTCAACCACATTAGAGCAATATATGATAATGCTTTGTGACAATCTTAAGGTGATATTGTGAAGTATGAATACTTAATGTATGCAAAATGTTAAAAAGTATGCACAAAAGCATGACTTCTGAATGGTCTAAGCAACAATTTAAATGACTTTGACAAATGTACACAAGCTCTCTCAGTGAATGAAGAAGCAAACCAATAATGGTAGGGTATCCTGTGCAAGTCAACTCATGTTTGCCTGAATATACAGGTAAGGCAAAATCCTCCATGAGTGAACATGAATGTTGCTCAGTGGCTCCTGGGAAAATATTACAGATACAGATTGAGATAAGTAGCTAAACAGATTAGCCATGGATACACATGATGAACAAGGCCAATGTTTTTGTTGAAACTTTTGTTTTGCTCCTTATGAGCCTTAGAATAAAATTTTATCACCTAGCTCAAAAATGTCCTTGTCTGTGCACTGGAAATTACCCCAAAAATGTTAATGGTAGGCTTTGCTCTCAAACATTGCTTATAAATTGGAGAGATGACTTTGTAGATTTGGATGATTTCCTCTCAAACCTTACCACCCTTATTTAACTTAAACATTTCTCCTTTTTGCCTTCTCTGCAAACCCTGTGCCTCCATGCTTCTTGTATTCTCCTTTCTGCCCACTCTGGTTCCACCTGAAGCCATTCATTTCCATTTTCTCACTGTGGTCTCCACTGCTGGTACTCCCATCTTCTCTTCAACACAAGCCAGGGCTGATTGCTTCCAAGGAGTGTTACCCCGTGAGGTCATCAAAGCAGAGAGAAACAGCTGAGTACCAACTCATAATTCCCTGCTGAAGCATTATGGATCCAAATGTGCAAAACTGATGCTTACATTTCAGAATCCATTTTAATCAACCCCATCCTTCCCACCTCTGAACAACAGCTCCTGCACTAGGGTGAAGTGACTGAATCTCACATACTCTGGAGGCTGAGAAGCATGAAATGCTGTGAGATGTTTCAGGCACAGAAGAACAGATTAACTTTTGAAAGTTCACCATTTCTGAACTACACTTATTACAGTACAAATAAAAAAATCTGAAGACACTAGAAGCCTAATATCATCACACAAATATTACCATAACTTACATAACTGAAGTCAGAAACAGGAGAAATAACATAAAGTTCACAAAGAACCTCTGATACTTGCTCTTGGAGAAACACCATGTCACCAGCTTAGATTGTATGTTGTGGGTATGAAAGTCTAAACTTTTACACTTGAAAAGTCCTGAATCTACTTCTCAATTCTAAACAAGATACTGACTCATTTAGATGTTAAGTATTATACTTTTAGAGAAATGAAAGACAAGATCTGCTATAGAATACCTTTCCTCAATTAAGATTTCTGGAAAACCTCAGCTTCAATGCCAGTGAGAGAACACTTTACTAGGGTCAGGAAACTACCATAAGGCTTGATTTACTATTAGGTAATGTCTGAATTATTTCAGGTTCATTTAGTTTTCTGATTAATATTCCATAAATTTTAAGGAGTACTTTACAATTAAATCTTTTTCCTCGTAAGTCTTTCACTACACTACACAAAAAAGAAAAATAAGTAGCATTTTGCTCAAACCCCATAGGTATGTTTAGGAGTTCATAAATCCCAAATTTTTAAATACCATGTCAACACTTTCCATCATATGAAGCAATATAAATGCAAATAGCGGGTTTAAATAACAGCATGAAAAGCTGTCTCTGTAGTTAGTCTTGCATTATTTTACATCAAAATTACTATTCAAGCACATTATCCCATGAAATGGATCTCCCCTTAAAATCATAATAAAATGGAAATTATTTTTAGTGCAAATTATAATCTAGACTCCATCTCCCTGATTCTCACCTTACCTGCCCTGGTGCAAGCGTCTACAGTTTTGTAAGGGGTAAACTACCTCATAGCAGTTTCTATCTTCTTTACTTACGTATATAATTGGCTTTCCAACTTGTAGAACAGTATGCGATTGAACCTTAAGTGTTATCTGTGCTTAAAACAAAACTATCTGACCACATTATACCTTGGATATTTTAGAAATAATTTAAAACTGAAAACACAAGAATCATTGCATTGAGTGTTCTTCCTGTGTCTAAAAGTT